CTTCATTCTCAAATGAAAGAAAGTGTAGTAAAAATAAAGCAGACTTGCATTCCTTGTGCATGCAAAACTTCTATTGACTTCAAGGGGAAGGATCTAATCCTTAATCTCTGTATGTATGACTGGACTGAAATTCCATTAGGAAATAAAATAAACATATATTGAAAGGGGTATTGGGAGTGGTTATACCAAGGTGCTTTGACAAACCCAGCATTCAGATTCAAGTGAAAGACACATTGGATCGGTGTGAAAGTAATATGAAACACTTATCGGTATGGGGGCACAGCTCCGGGCCCCTGGAAGGGGCGGGGCCTCAGGCAGAAGGGGTGGGGCTGGGGATCAGCCTCCCCCAGCCAGCCCATCAGCGCTGCCTGGCCTGCGCTGCCCGGGGCTCCGGCAGTGATTTAAAAGGACCTGGTGCTCCGGCTGCTGCTGCGGTAGCAGCGGCCGGGACTCCCTGGTCCTTTTAAATCACTGGTCCTGGGGGAGCTGCCCCTTTTGCCCCCTCCCCTGTCGGCGGCCCAGGGGGGACAAAAGGGGCAATGACATTAAAGCGCTGCCGCAGCAGCACTTTAACATCATCCTATTTTCATCCCTGGATTGGATCAACAAAAACATCAATCCATTAAAACTGTTTTATGGCATCTAAAGCAGAAAGATTAAAGCAAATGCAAATATTTAGGGATGGGAAATGTTAGAAAGAGTGAATAAAATAAGAGTAGCGACCATACCATGGACCACAGCCTTAGAGGGGATTACAGTGGTGGAGTTGAGAGCAGAATTTGGCCTGCTATCTCTTAAACAATTCAAACTCCATGTAGCTTCAGTGAGAGGAAAAAGTGAAAACTTATCATCATTAGAAACTTTTACAACATATGGTGCATTTCCAAGTATTAGCTTTGGTCATTTGCATCAATCCTGTTGAAGGTCAGATGGGAATAGCAGCACCAAAAGTGATAAAGTCTTTATTACATTTGAAGTATTTCCATCCACTATAAATCTACCTTTTATAGATGATATTAAGGTCACAGCACAGTGATTATAGCTTTACAGAGAAATGATCAAAATGACAGGAATGAGTACAAGCTGAAGACATATAAAATGGAAATAAGAAAATGGTCTCCAAGCAATTACTCAAGAAAGGGAATTTGTCAAGCTACAGCAACTGGTGGAGTACTGTTACCATATTTTCAATAAAATAATTGGAGAAAGCATAGAGGAAGTCAACAATGATTACAAGAACAGGTAACTATTGTGCGTCTTCATAGGTCATGTGCAAAGCAGGCTTCCACCCTTCAATATGAAAAAATAATGACTGAGGGTCTTGCATTGTAAACATCAGTATTAATTACATTGAGTTTGTGAAGGCATTCATCAGGTTGCCCCTGTCATTTTAATTCAACCTTTGTTGTAAATGTGGGTTTATTTTAAAGCTGATCAACACAGTACCTAGCCCGTATGACAATCTGACAGTGAAAAGAATTAATCAGCATCATTGCTCTTCCAGGAATGTTACTTCTGTCATAATCTCTTCTGTGGCTACTGGCTGAATACTAAAAAAAAAGTGTTGGATGAAAAACACTTGGAAACTAATTAATCTTAGGAGGTAGAACAGTTAATTTGTATTGCTTGTGCAAGTGCCATTTCTCTGCTCTTCAGCAGCCCTTTACAGAATATCATAGGAGGCAGTGCACGGTTATATTCTTTGCCAAAGTAATAAATGCAATGTCTGAAAAACGAGCAATGTAACTTTGGAGAATCTGTAGCCACTCTGTCTCAACCCCACCCTACTAGAAATCAGTAGTGAGGGAGAATCATCGACACTTGAACTTTGTTTCATGTCCTCAGACTCAGTTGTCAGTTCCTAGTGAATAGAAGGCTGTTTTTGATTTCACATCAGGTTTTGCAATATTATGGCTCCAATATTGTGAGTTCTGATTTACAATGGTATAAATATGATTAGAATCAAGCCCTAGAAACCTGATCCAATGCCAACTAAAGTCAATGGGATACTTTGATGGGCATTGGATTGGACCCAAGGGGTGAAATCCTAGCTCTATTGAAGTCAGTTGGAAGATTGCCATTGACTTCACTGGAGGCAGAATTTCACTGTAGGTGGTATCGCATTTAACACCTTTATCTGTTCTGCAAAGAAGCCAACAATTGAATGGGCAGGGAAAATGAACTATCTCTGCATACCCATTCAGCTCAAAATAGACTCACAGTTGCAGGGCAGTGTTAAAGAAGATGTAATTGCTCTTGACTATGCTGTACCTCTTCTCCTTAATGAGAACATCAGATAACAGTGCTATAACTTGACACCGTCAGTAGACATTAAATTAGAAAACAAAATAATGCACAAAGCAGAAACAGTAGATGTGAAATAATTAGAACTAAGTGGTAATGCCGTCATTTCGGTTCTCTACCAAGCAGAGATGGTGGATGACGGATTCTCATCTCATTTATACTGGGTTCACATTTGTGTAACTCCATGGAATTCAATGGAGTTACTCCTGATTACACCAGAGTAACCAAGAGCAGAATCACACCCTTGGGAATTTAAACAGAAAAAGCGAGAGAGAGAAAAAGTATAAAGGCTTTTGACAGCTATATTATGTGGAGAATTATCAGATAAAAATAACATCAATGCATTTCTAACCAGGAGAGTCCTAAGACAAGTTAAGCTATCAATCATTTGTATCACTCACCATTCAGTAAAGAGATTCAGCATCTGAATCAGTCATTACAATGTAAAATTAGTAAAGTTTCAAACAAAATGCAGATAAATGAACTGGAGGACAATGCAATTGAATTTTAAAACTTGACAAGAATCCAGAATTATTTCATTAGGCCGACATGGGAAGATTTGGTTTCTTCTTGTTATGCAAGAAATTTGAGAAGTTAAGTCTCAGGTAGAATGATTTTTAAAAGTGTAACATCATATAATATACTTTTGTGTATCATCTTGCCTCCAGAAGGAACCTAGAGGACAGTAAAAAGTATGGTGCACATCCTGAGTTCCTTATTAATTTTTGGGTCAGTCCCTATTCATGCAAGCTCCACTTCATACCAATGAGAGTTTGCCTGAATAAGAACAGTGAATATTGAGCAAAATCTAAGGAAGACTTCAGGATTTGCCTCGATGCATATTGTATTACACCTTCTTAATTTTGTTTTTAGTTCTCCTGAGATATGCACATATATTACTTTTTTTCACTACACAGAAATTAGGCAGGAATTTATTTTCAAATGTACCTTGTTCAGCTTATTATAAAGTTTATTACTTTTATTTAAACAAAAATCATTTTGCTTACAGATTACTACAAAAATGGGTGCTGCTCCAATCCTGAAAAGCTATAAAAACTGGCGTTATATCAAACCAAAAACATACACCTCAAGTGGTCCATGTTTTAGATCAATGTATTTGTTTGTTTCATAGACTACAGGAAGAAAGAGAAGTATGACGCACATTTTTCATAAAATGGTTTTGCCTTGGATTATGTGAGCACATTGATAGATACGGGGACAGGTGACATCTAGCCTTCAATCATATGGCACAGCATATTCTGCCAATGCATTACATGTGCCATCCTGTCCAGGCAGGATATGATGAATCAAGGCAGACAGGTGCACTATGAGGCAGAGTGTGAACATTGCAGCCTCATTGAAAGTCATCCTGGGTAGCATGTTCTGGAGACACCAAACGGATTAGCTGTCTGGAACCTGAGCATGCCCACTAGCCAGTACACCCCTTGGTGTGGAAGTCAACGTACCCTCCACTCCCTTTCCCAACTATCATCTTGGGCCATGAACCAGCATGTGAGGAGTTCCTCTGGATTCAGTGGAACTCCTCATATGCTTTAAGTGTGTGCTTCAGTGCATTCTAGATTCAGGGCCTAAAGCACTAGACCAGAATTCTGCCTAGCTGTTATGGAAGATGTACTCCATGTTTCTGGGCTTCTGCTAGCATCTGTACAGATGCCCTGAGCAGAATTTGGCACATAGTACTAAAAATATTTTCAGTATGAATTTCTAGTGTAGACGTGTCTTGAAAGGACTGAATAAAAGGTTTAGAATAAAATATATATAGAAAGAGAGAGAGATGAAGGAAAGGTATGTTTAGAAAACCTAATATAAATGCAGTCTGAGTGTTTTAATGCAAATTATTTTTACAACAACTTTCATGAAAATCTGTGTTTATATCTGGGAGTAGCTGAGATGGTTCTGTGAACACCTGGACTGAAGAAGGAGCTCACTCTTGGTTAAACACAACAGCTGTGCGGAAGTGAGTGAGAACTGGAAAATGAAAGTGGCTATAAACATAAGTGAAACTGACCCATCTAATTTTATTATTCTGATTGCTGAGTATAATGCAATAAGCATGCTAGCTTGTAAATGGCAAAAAGTTAATTGGCTTTTTTTTTCAAATTCTTCCTGTTTCAGCAGTCGCAGATGTTATTAGTAATACAAGTAAGGACCTTGTTTAACATGTGGCTTTTATCTCAACAGCTTGTCATGTTTGTCTCCTTTCCCCCATATTTTAATGGCCAGTGTGAAATGGCTTATACGTGCCCACAAACATTAATAAGATGGAAGAGTTAGCCTCTGCATTTAATTTACCTCAGTTGGCCATATTCATCCTCAGGTATATGCCTGCAACTCTCATTGACTGTAGAAGAACAAAATTTGGCCCACTCCTGGTTAGTTCCCTGGGGTAAAATTCCCCACACCCCAAATAAGTTCTCAAAATAGGATTTCAGTGGCCCTTAAGTGGTGTTGTGGCCTTGTGCAGAATTTCATTCATAGTTCAGCGCTTGTGTAACAGTGAGCTTAGGCTTCCATCCTCCACAAACTTGCAAATATGCTTACCTTTATGCACCTAACTGTTCCCATAAAATCAATGGGGCTGCACATATGCTCAAAGTGAAGTCTTTACAGGATCAGGACATTAGCCCGCGATCTTCATCAAATTAACAAAAAAAAATCTTAACTTTATCTTGCAGAGATGTTGGAAACCAACAATGTAATCACTTTCAATGGACTAGCCAATAGCTCCAATTACCACACTTTCCTTTTGGATGAGGAACGGAGTAGACTATATGTTGGAGCAAAGGATCACATATTTTCTTTCAACCTGGTTAACATCAAGGAATATCAAAAGGTATCTTCAATCCTACTATAATTGTTTTTTAACAAAACCTGTGGTACAAATCTTGTTATGCAGAGGTATAATGTATAACTTGACAATAGATATAAACTACTTTTAAATTGTCATGATAGCTTATGATAGCTAACCTCCCACCCACCCCCCAAAAAAGAAAATTGTTGCAGCTACAAGGGGGGAAAATAATAGGCCAAATTTGGACCTGGTTTAAATTGTTACGCCAGTTCTAAATTTGGACAAATATATATAAACAATGCAAGTGCTTGCCTACATGAACATTTAATGAGCAGCAAGCTGGGATATGAATCTACTCCATGCTAGCTTGCTGTGCTAGTTGTCCATGTAGATCCTGCTGACACACACTAACAGTTAGTGTGCTTTAGAGTATGTCTACACTACCCGCCGGATCGGCGGGCAGCGCTCGACCCCCCCGAGCGCTCTCCCATCAACTCCTGTACTCCACCGCTGCGAGAGGCGCAGGCAGAGTTGACGGGGGAGCGGTAGCAGTTGACTCACCGCAGTGAAGACACCGTGGTGAGTAGGTCTAAGTACGTTGACTTCAGCTACGTTATTCACGTAGATGAAGTTGCATAACTTAGATCGATCCCTCCCCACTAGTGTAGACCAGGCCTTAGTCTACTCATATTTCAAAGCGGGGACACTAACAAACTGTTAGTGTGTGTCAGCAGGTTCCAGGTGGACAGGTAATGCTCAGCATCCTAGTGCAGGGTACATTCACATCCCAGCTTGCCATGAAAAATCTTTTTGTGTAGACAAGCCGCAAGTCAGCAAGATCAGGAATATAGAATGTCTGATTTTTAGCTACTAATTATAGAGAACATACGGTAAACCTCATTTTAATGTTCTGTAATTATTTGTGCCTGTCCTGTGTTAGGAGCCTGGGCAGAATAGTTAAAGCTCTAGTATATTTTTACAGCGGTATTATATAATTATTGTATATAACATATTGAAAGTATCATAAAAGGTTAATCCCTAGATCCTAAGGTGAAGCTTAAAACTATGGGATTTTACATGCTTATATTTAAGCAATCAAGCTTTAAGGTTTTGTAAAGCTATGGTGCTAATATCTACACAGCTCCCTTTTTCTATGTGTCTTTCTTCTGTTCCATGTCCACTATATCCACAGTAGTATAGTCCTTTTTTACATCTCCTAATAAGGAAGAGTTGATTGAAAAGTAGTAACACAGTAGCAGTAGCACCAGTAAATGAATGCACTTTACCTCAAGCCAGCTATTCACCAAACAGTCCATATTTTTATGTTTACTGCTCAATAAAACGAAGATGACTGTCACGACAGCTCTCACAAAAAGGTCACATTACCATTCACTTTTTTTGAGAGTAGGGCCACTTCGGTGTTTGTGAGGGTGAGTGTTGATTTCTTTTCCTTAGCATGGAGTGCTTTAAAGAATTGTGTTTCTGCTACTCATAAACCACAATAGATTGGATCCTAATAAAAGAGTGACAGATTGGTAAAAGCTCTTTGCCCTTGATGGAGGACATTACTTTTGGTAAAAGTTGTAGACTTAAATTAAAAGCTGATGTACAGTTCAACTGTGCTTTTGGGTATGCTTCTGCTTGAGTCTAAAAAGTTGTTTTATCTTTTCATTTATTCTAATGAGCTTTGCCAAAGAATAAGAAGGTAAACACAGAGATGGAGGTTTGATTTGTTATGTTCAAGCATTTAAAATCCCACAACTTTGATGGTGCATTTTAGATTCAACTTTTATGAAAGATATATTGCTTCAGTACCAGTGGATTTTTTCTTGGTATTCCTGACCTTTTGCCCATTTGCCTATTAGCTTCCTAAGATGATAGCAATAAATACCTTGTGTTCTGTATTCTGAAGGAAGACAGGCCATTCATTTGTATTCTCTAAGGAAAAAAGATAAAAGGGAAACTGAGTATTTTCTTTTCTATTCTCCTTAGAGCAGCTATAAAGGAAACTGGCTATTTATTTGTATCCTCTGAGGGATTCATAGTTTAATGCACAAAACATCTGGAATAATTAAAAGAAAGGATGGTGTTTCCACAGTAGAAAACTGCTCTCTGACATTAAGGGAATTGTATCTTCTGTTCTTCAGTCTTCAAACACTTCTAGAACAATGTGTGAAATAATAAACAGACATTATTATATGAAAGAAAGATAATTATTATTGATGGCTCAAAACTGCAGATTCAAAGTGGGATTTGAACATTCCCGAAGATTTAGAGACTTTTTGGATCAGCTTAATATAAAGACCATGGTCACTGAAGAAATTTAGATCCGAATCAAAACTTTTCTAAAGTCTTAGCTGTGTTTGAATCTCAGCCTGTGGTTCAGGTTCATCTCTTATTATTATCAATTATCACATCGTCCCATCATTTTCTGAGCGGGCATCTCCACTGAAATCAGTGAGGATTTCTACGTAAGCACTGGAAGTAAGTTATGGCCTCAGCAAAATAGCACAAATAAGGCCAAATTCACCTTGTCATTACAATGGTGCAAATTCACTGACTTTCACATCAAGTCAACAGAATTGCAGCATTGTCAGAGGAGAATTTGACCTGCCCATATTAGAGATACGAAAAACTGGTTAAGATAATATAGGAACCTTTCTCCAAAACTTGAATTGATCCTGAACGGAACCTTTTGGGGCTCTAAAAAATTTGGTTAATTTTTTTTTCAATTTAGTAAATTTTCATTTTCACTTTTCTCTGAACTTCTTAAGCCAGGAATAGAAGCAGGAAGAATCCTTTGAGAGACCGTGTTCTCATGAAATTTTCAGCCCAATTTTATAGACTTAAGAGGTTCAAATTCTGTTTGGATCATATTATATTAGTTAAAGAAAATTCACAATTTTTGGGTGTTGGTTGAGGTCCACCCTAGACCTCAAAACATCACTAACAATATGTCCTTAATTCTCTTTTGTCACCTGCAATCATCCTATTTTCCTAATACTTTCCCCTTTACTTTATAAATAATGTATTGAATACCAAGGTTATAATCCAGTCTTGTGGCCATTCATATTGCATTATCTGAAGTTACCAACTGAATCGTAACCTGGCATTATGTGAAGATCATGTTTTATTCTATATGTAATTCCTAAAAGATTTTCAACAGACATGAATAATTGACTGAAATGGTCTCTGGGTTTTCTCTGTAGGAAGTGAGATACTTCTTCTACCAGAAGTAATACTACAGCAGGCTTAGAGAGTATTACTGGAAGATTATAGATATTTGCAAAGACACTTATCCAAATCAGTATCAGCATTAGTGTTTGATGGAATGATAGTATCAAACTAACATCACCATTTTTATTCATTTAATTGAAGAGCAGGAAACAAAAGTGAATTACTATATAAACTGAACAGTCAAGAGTCCCATTTATGTTACAATATTCCCAAACCCAATTAAATGGCACATAGTAATAGATATCTATCATATTCAGCGATGTCAAGAAGATGCAAGCTTTGGGCCTGGGTCTCCATTCCATTTTTAAACCAGTGTTGTAAATACATTAAAATCAATATTGATTTACCAGTATAACTGAATAGAAAATCAAGCCCTTTGCTTCCATATTTTTCAAAGTCTGTAGCAGAGATCCACATTATACACCTGTATTTATAATCTTCTTTGCCATGATTCCCATTATATACACTTTATTCTGCTTATGTTTGGGTTTTTTCAGTGAAAGGAATAAAGAGAAAAGCAAAGGAACTGGGTGAAGAGACTATATATAGAACTTGGTATACAATTTGTGATTATTGAAGCATGAAATGGCATAAAGTGATTTTTATTTTATTTCTTTAGATTTTTTGGCCTGTGTCTCATACCCGAAGGGATGAGTGTAAGTGGGCTGGAAAAGATATTCTGGTAAGTACAAATCTTTATAATGGTGTTTTGTTTTTGTGTGTGAAGAATTTGAATATTTCATGAAGTCTAGTGTTAATTTTTAAAGCACTTATTTTTCCTAAGATTACTCTTCTTACTCTAACATGAGATTTGGGTCACATCAGGTTTTTTGGTTGGCTGGGTATTTTGGTCCAAAGAAATGGATGCTGAGTTTAAATGCATAAGAGGATGAAAATCATGCAAATTGAAGCGAAAGTATTTATTTAAAAAGCACCCACTAAAGTGAGAATCATTGATTCTTATTTAATTTTCTTCTGATTTCATTAATTGTGCACTGATTTAGCCCCTGATCATGCAGTAAGCTCCATATAAACCCTTGTGCCCACATGGCACTTCACTGAAGCGGGTCTCTATGCAAGGTTTCCTTGGGTTCTGCCTGTATGGAGTATATTGCAGGATTGAGGCCTAAGTGGTTTTAAGTTTCTGCATCAGTTTTGGTGCCTCAGGAAAGAAACAGTTATATAACAACTGCTTTACTTACCTTCTCACTCTCTCTCACTCACATATCTCTGTCTTTGTACATAAGAGAGTGAGAGAGATTTGGCCACAAGTCCTAACAATTCTCTCAGTGTATATTGATAGTTTAGCCCTGTCTTCCATTATAGGAGCAGAGAGAGAAAGAGGATACATATACACAATAAGTCAAATGGACACATGCACAGTGGGCCAAATGGGAAATCAGTGAAGTTGCAAGGGTATGACTGAGAGTGGAATTTGGCCCCATGTGTATACATTACTGGCCTGAATTTCAGAGATGGTTCACTAAAATATTCATAATGCCAATCTTATGCCTCTGAAGAACTATGTTCCAATACTGTCTTAGGTCAGAAGTGAAAGTGGGTTCACTGGGCTTAACCTAGTCCCTAGAGGACTGTTGTCTACGTCAAAATATCATTTTTGGAACAGCAGAGGTGGTTTAGGTCAGGACTGACATATATAACCAGCGATGTATGTATGGAAAGGGAGCTCATGATTTTCATGTGCCTGGCTATAGTATGAGTGTCTCTAGCCACTTTGTAGTCCCCTGATTTTAAATCACTACAAATATTTTTTACTCAAACCACGTATGTATTCACAAGCACTTCCCTTAGAAATATTCTGTGAGCTAGAGATCAGAAAATCTAACCTGCTAGGTAACCCAGAAAGTGCGGGTTGGTGTGAAGTACCTGAAGAGATTAACTAACAGTGGCAGTCCAGGGTTGTACTAAGTATTGTTATATTACAGTAAGCAACAATACCATGCCTTGAAGAGAAACTCAGAAATCTACAGTACTGAGAACAAAATTGCTTCTTTTACTTTTTTTAAAAAAACATTTTCTTTTAAAAATTCAAAATAATAAAGTGGGGGGAGGGAGAGAGGAAGGGAAAGTTTCAGACATTGCAGAAAGTCAGTTTCCAATATACTCATAGTAAGTGGCCATATTTCGTTGTGCTGCCCCTGGAATAGTCCAGAAACAAGATTATGACTCCGGGAGTCACCATCTCACTTCCAGTCACCTCTGTGTGTATGTGTGTGCATTACACAACAAGTCTATATCCTGCATAGTGTATACTCGCTGACATGTCAAGGTAGCTACTCCACTAGGCATGAATGTGGAGTAGATCCATGGCTCAGTCCCATCCTGCTATTTTCTATCTACCTGCATTGGGTATCCCCATGCACTGGAAGCTTCAGTACAGTGTGCTGGCACAAGGGCATAAGAAGGCATAACATGGGGTACGGTGCGCAGGACATACAACAATCTAACCCAAAGTGAGGGTAACAGTGTTACAAGTTATACGGGTCTGGTCAGAAAATTTTGAAAGATGAAAAATGTTGGTAAACAACAGAAAACATATTGCAAGTTTTATTTTCTATTTTCCACCAGCCCTACAAATGTACGAGAGAAGCCGCAAAGAGTTCATTCTATATATTTAAATATAAATAAAGAATGGCTAGTAATATTTTATGTGGGTCCAGGTCAGCACTGGGGTTTTGGTAGGTGAGTTAGAAATCTGAAGCAGGATTAACTCTCAGTGTGTCTAGTTCTCTATTGGTAAACACCCAAAAGTACCTGAGTCACAGGTTTCTCTCCAGTCCTGCTCTTGCCATTTAATAATGCATTAGAAACAAAGTACTAAATGGTGTAACATAATATAACAATTCTAGATGTAATAACATTAAAGATTGCACATCATTAAAGAAACTTAGCATTCTTCCCTCCTATATTCCTTATAGTTGTTGTCAATACCTAGGAAATGTGAAATATAATGACCATAAAAATAACTCAACGTGCTCTCATTAAACAGAGAGAGGATGCTTAAAGTGGAGTATAAAGCACATTTGATTTAATGTTGCTATCAACGTGGACCATTGCTAAGATATTAGATATTTCTCCTTTGTGATTGCTCACACTTTCCTAAATGAAGTTCTGTATCTTTTATGACAGTTTTCATTTTTAACATTTGTAATTATTGATCTCAAGGGGGGCAGCCAATACTGAAAATTCAAGTCCCCACTAATAAGCCAGGTGCAGTACAGCAGCTGCAATGAAAGTTTTTCCCTAATATTGCCCCAGTGGTAACCTCAAACATGACCTGAGAGATTTCCCCTCATAATTAAAAGAAATAATTTACTGTAGCTTTTATTCTGTCTGAGTCCAAAGGATTCCTTAAATCCACACTGCCAGTCATGCCAATCTAGGCATAGCAAATTGGTGAAATTTCAGTTTGCATGGGATAATGCTGAGGGCAGCATATTATGATATTGTAAATCTAATGATAACCCTTTATTACTTATGTAGCAGTTTTCATTTGTGTGTTTAAAGCACTTTATAAATGTTAATTAGTGAAGCTTTGCAATACCCCTGTTGTATGTTGTCCATTTTATAGGTAGGTAAACTTTTTAAAATATGCTTGACTCCCTTTTACATATAGGTAAACTGAGACACCAGGAGATTAAAAGTCCTCCCCCAAGATCACACAGTGGTTACAGCAGAAGCCACTTTTTTCATAAACAAACTTATCTACTAGACTTTCTCATCAGGTATAGAGAAGTTGCCATTAAACTCTTTATTAGCCGTTAGAGTTGCTGTGATATTTCTCTATCCTTAGTATAGGGAATACTACAAATAGCAAAGTAATGTTATTAGTGAAAAAGGCAAAATTGTAAATATTTAATAGCAACCAAGGTATTTACTTTTATGACCAAGCTAAACAAGCAAATGTGATAGCCCAATAAAAGGAGACAAAGAGTTTCTTATTGCTCTGAACCTCAGCCATGGATAGATATCTCCCTGGTTCTACTGTGGTTACATCCTGAAACCTTCCCCTGTAGATTTCTGATCAGGAGTTTGGAACAATCAAAGAATTAATTGTTCCTGTAGAATACATCCCAGGTTTTACACTGAACCACACAGTGCAGACATGATCAATAAAGCTCCTACTGTTATAACTCACTACTGAGTTTCAGTATTTTGATTTAAAGAGCTCACAGTCAGTCACCTGGGACACAATGGTAACACATGACAATTTCTGCATTACATATGGATTAAATAATAGGGAAACAAGAAAAAATGTGGCTATAATTCCATCCTGGGGTTCCAGTGATGTCATAAACCATCAGAGTGTAGTTTGAGTGATTTATGTAGTCACTGGAACCCTAAGATGGAACTGTAACTGGGGATAGGAAAACCAGTGCATAAACTGGAGCTGAGCAGAAACTCCACCTAGAATTCAAACCGTTATTTTGTTACAGTATGAAAAGGTTTGATTAACTTCCCCCTTCCCCTCTATTTGGTGCATCTCTGCACTTCCTAATTTTATGATGCACAGGAAACAGAAGTGCCAAGACACCAAAGGAGTAGTTCTTGTGGTATTTAATTATGGGATTTAACTATGGGATATGGTAAGTTCTCCATGATTTGAAGTCTTTAAGGATGAGTTTTAATAAAGCACCGACGGGTGCTGACTTCTAGTGGGAATTGGATGCCTAACTCCTTATGAAAATCCCTCTCTAAATCTAAATCAAGTTGGTAGGCTAAATGCAGCAATTACTTGTTTTATGCCCGTGTTATGCAAGATGTCAGACTAGATCAGGGGTTCCCAATGTGGTACCCGTGGGCACCTTGGCGCCCCCCGGGGCGTGTAAGTGCGCCGGCGTACTGGCCACTGGATGAGCATCCGCTGAAATGCCGCCAAGAAGCAGCGTCATCCAGAGGCGTCACCGCCAAAATGCCGCCGATTTGCCGTCGGCGGCATTGCGCCGGCGATGCCTCTGGATGACGCTGCTTCTCGGCGGCATTTCGGCGGCGACGACTATTGATGTTGCCACTTGTCGGCGACATTTCGGTGGATGCTCGTCCGCCGCCATGGTCCTCCATGGCTCATCGTCTGGCGCCTGCCAGACGAAAAAGGTTGGGGACCACTGGACTAGATGATCGTAATGCTCCCTTTTGGCCTTAACATCTATGAATTTTTGACTTTCCAATCTACCCAAAACATGCTTGGAAATATTTTAAAAAGTCTGCCTGGAGTCTTTGTTCTCACAAGGTGTCTAGACCGCATAGAATCAAGTAAATTTGTGAAAGCTTTGGAACACCATTGGAATGTAACCCACACACCTCCTGGATGTGGTGTTCTGTCCCATCTAGTGGCACCAAGACCACTTAAAGAGGGAGAGAAAATGTGCCTGCTCTACAGCCTTAGCTAACAGCCAGTTGGCTTTTAATTTGTGGTAGAGACTCATGCACTAAGCTCCAGAGGTCCCTGGTTCGATCCCACCCGCCAACAACTGGGGTCTGTCAGTGTTACAAGAACATTCCAAATCTTCTCTTAGCAATCTTAGGAGAAATTTATTGTTAGTGAATTGTGACAAATTGTCAGCACCAGGATGATGGTCTTGTATTTATCCATCAATCTGGTGCAATTCATCATCGTCAGCCATAATGCAAGCACATTGTCCCAACTATGTGCCTCAAACC